ACGACTGACATTGGATAAATCATTTATCGTCACAGAAACAATAACAGTGTAAATTATGATAAGCAAAAAAAAAATTCCACCTAAATTTAGATTTAGAACAAGACCGCCGGCGACCAAGGGTGGCCCATATATAAGTCGTATCATTTGTAGGCCACGTGCCAGCCGGCGACCCAAGACATTTCTTTTCTTTATATTACTATACAAGGTTTATTGATCAAAACTGTATACATTTTATCAAAATCGGACAATTAGAGCTATTTTTATAAGCGTAAACATGTTAACGACAAATTATGTCAAAATATTATGGCCCACCACGCTCCGAAATGACTTGGGTCGCCGGCCTCTTATTAGTATGAATCAAGATAGGTTCATTAATTTAAATATTTTGACCTAGAGAATGACATTAGCACCAATAATGAAGACTAGGTATTAGGTATTTTTTAAAAAAACAAAGAGTCGTGTACCACTTTAAATATCCTAATTTATTCAAATAAATGTGAACCTACACAATGTAAAATTCTATTGCTACATTTACAATAAATGCTTTGTTTTTTTTTTTTTTTTTGTAATAAAATAAATGCATTTTTGAAATACTCTCTAAAAATATAATTTTATTTAATTTAAAAATATATATATTTATCTGGGCTTGATATTCTTCCTGGATATTTTACCTATTCATGAGAGTAATTGGTAGTTGACCTTTGAAATTTGTATATGTTTGCAATAACTGGCGACATGAAGATATTTCTTTGAACCCTCACTAACCTACTTCAATAAAATTTTGTTATTAGTTATTTATGTGGATTTTTGTTTTAATATGATAATCCGTATGTGGTATGTATTTAAAAGTTTGGTTATACAGAAGTCATCAATTAAGAGATTATTGCACTTCTTTGAAAAATGTAAATAAGTTATAGATTGAAACAAACATAACTGATAACTGTGTAGAGCAGTGGTTCCCAACTTTTTTGGTACTACGGACCACTATGAGAACTTTCGATACGTCACGGACCACCTCAATTGTATACCTTATTTTTCTTACAAATAAGAATCAATTTTTTTTCACATATTTAAGAATTTTGATTATTATTATATGAATAAGAGGCTTTTAATAACATGGGTTTCACTATGTAATATACATTTATAAATAAACGACGTACTATACACGATTGTCAATAATTAGTGTTATGCCTCAAAGGAAAATGAAATTATTAAAATATTTTTTCATTTTGTAAGTATGGCTCGCGGACCACCTGACAATGTCTCGCGGACCATAGGTTGAGAACCTATATATGGTGTAGAGTGTAGTTATTTCATAATATTTTTGATGGATAGTAATTTATAGAATGAAATACGTGATGGATTACGTTTACAAGTATACCTCAAACCAAGCCTAGGCATAACCGAGTTAAACATTTAAATTAAAGAAAATATTATTAACTTGTAACTTATTTTTTAAAATTTAACTGTCATTAAATTAATTTTTAACTTAACTGATTTTTATTGATAAGAAATTCGTGTTACGGTAGTTTATAAATAATCAAAAAATAAATATAATACAATTATTATTGATGATGCGTTATATTTCATAAACATTTACTTTTTATTTTTTTGGTTCAATGTACCGAATATTTTTATATTATAAAAAAATAATAATAATTTAACCTTAAATGAATAAGTTAATTTTTAATTTCCATATAAAGTTTTGTTTTTTTATCAACATAATTTACCTTAATTAATAATTATCAATAACTCTCCTGGGCTTGATTTAAATCTACTAATTACCATATTTACAGGTTATGACAGAAAGATATGACAAATATTATAAATATTATATATCATAGATATATCATATCTTTGTGTTAAACCATGTATTATATGTAACTCAAACAATAATAATAGTTATAATTTGTATCTGTGAAGACCAAAAAATACTAATTATTACTTTGAATCTTTAAATACTTGTTTAATTTTGTCAGTGTTTTTCAATCATTTAATCAAGACATGTTCAAGATGATGTTGAAACAATTTCTTTGAAGCGTAGTATGGATACGATTTAAGCTATCCCTATAGGTGAATATGCGCAAAAGCTGTTTTTCGTAATCCACTGATATCTCGGTGAACACTCTTTGACAGTCGTGATTTACCACTGCATAGAGACTTGTTACGATAGTTGGTTTTCGGAAAAAAAATACAAAGATTTTTATCTCACGTGTTTAACTTAAGTAAGAACACAAGCGCTATTACCTAAATATTTTTCTACAGAACCATAATAGCTGTCTGTAGCTGACTCCCAATTTTTTTCATTGATAATTACTCTTTGTATTTAAAACAAACCTATAAACTTATACTTTACACCATTCTAATCACTTTTTTGTTCTACTCTTTCTAGGATTCGTAAGAAGTATGTTTACTCACTAAGTAAGTAAATTTTTAAAAACAGGTAATAATCCAGTCAATAATCCAGTTATGTTTTGACGATTATGGTATGCAATAAAAGTTCATTCGTCAGTGCGTTAAGATCGTATAATTTACTGTTGAAACGATGATACGAGTACATAGTGGAATAATATTAAAATCTCACCATAACAATTCTGAAATTACCTTATATTTATGTATAATATCATATTTATTTATATTTACTGAGCAAGCTGAATAAAATAATAGTTAGGTTAAGTAACATAATAATATTATATATGTTAATTAAATTACAGCATAATACAGAATAATAGATTTATGTAAGAAGTAGAAAGAAAAAGTAGGGTCGTGATTTGCAGAGAGCATTATCTGGATACTAGGGGTATTTTCAATATATTTTTCAGGAGCAGTAGAGATATGGAAAGAAGCAGGGCAGAGAGTAAAGTGAGATTGTACTTTGAAAGTAATGAGAGAAAGAATATAGGAAAGGAGATAGAAAAGCACCTTGGGGACATTGAACGTCAGTGTAAACATTAGAGATAATAAACCAAGGACAGACACATAGAGGGGTCGATTAGTAAGATACGACCGCAACGGGAGTTTACCAATTGTGTTTAAAATTACCTTTCCATGTACTAATAATTGCGCTCGGTTATTTTCAAAGTTGATAGATGGACCGATTGCACTCGGTAGATTGTAATTTTCAGGGTTGATATCCCAATCGAGCTGCCCAGAGCCAATGGTCATTTAAATTTAAAATATTATGTACAGATAATATTTGTTATATTTAGTACAACTTGAGTTACTTTTCTTGAACACAATACAAACATACAATATTTAACACTTATTATAGATATAATAAAAATAAACGACAATTGTACATATAGAAGTATTTAATAATGTCAGTACTAATCGTTGTGTTACTCCATATTATAGAGTATGAGTTTAACGTACAGTACAACTATGCAACGAATCGATTAGGCCGATAAATAGCTTGTGAAACTGAAAACTTTGTTTTGTTAAGTGAATAAATCACTCAAATTAGTATTATACTTGTTGGTTATAAAATTGACGTTTCTTAAAAGTCTCGTACTCTTAAGTACTCTTACAGAATATTATTCTGTTCAAATTAGTTACCAACATTTTAAATGTGGAAGTAACTATATTTTTTTTTTAAAAACCAAAAATATTTAATCTTCAAGTCTTTAAATAACCAATGTATCAATATATTATAATTTGTTAATTTAATCATAAGTGTGATTTGGAATATAACAGTAAAAGTAAAATGATTTAAACATAAATATGGTTAGTGACTGGTGGATGAGGAACAAAAAGAATAAAAAATATTTGAAGAAAATCTCAGCGGTATCAGAAGGATTAGACTTAGAAAACCCATCAAAAACTACAGTGGGAGAAATGGAAGTAAAACTACCTACGTGTTTTCTATACGAAGGGCCAGAAACAACGAAGAGATTTGATGCAAGGGAACACTTGGCATGGGAAATCACCTTACTGTAACATTGTTTAGATAGGAGCTTGTAGCGAGCTTGTAGTATAGAAAACATACAGTAATCAGATAAAGAACAAAAAAATTTATATGCTACTCATTTTAATCGAAAAAAATATAAACTTAAGTGAAATTTGTATTGTACATTATACGGAGGTTGTAACTGTGTTTGATTTCCTTAATTGTTCAAAGATTTTATTTTTTCTTACTTTATTAATAAGAATAAAAAAACAGTTGGCATTGAATTAGTTTTGCCTACACAGTTTTATCGATGTACAAATAAGTATTTTACTTATGAAAAAAAAGAATAACAGAATATTATTCGTGAATGTATTGGTATTTTTTTCCAGTCTAATATACTATGCTCAACAAAAAACAAATCAAATAGAAATGATTTATATACTTATATATAGTATTTAATTTTTTAATTTTCTTAAACTGTTATAAATCAATTAAAGATTAAATAAATAATTGGGTAAAAATTAAACGTTAGAAGGCGCATAACAATTATACAATTATAAATAATTCGTTCTTCTGTATTTAGAATTATTATCTCCATAGAGTTTGTTCTTTAAAAATTAAAATATTTTTATTTTTTCTCGCAATTTTTTATTTGTGATATAAAATGACAAAAATCCCTAGCCACATACAACCACATGATTTTTGTTTTTTTACCTTTCATTGATAATATACTGATGAAGGATAATTTATTTATAATAATATTCTAATAGTATGGGATGATTATTTGTTTTTAGTTGGATATTGGACCGCTACCATGTTTTCAGTTAACGTTCAGAATACTGATGATGAGAACAGTTACTATGAATACCTATGTCACAAATAGGATTTTTCTGCTAATTTAAAAAAAAAACCTATCTCCATAAAATATTTGATTATGTAAGAATACATTCAAATTTCAAACTTAGTTATTTTCCCGATTTTTCAACTACATTCTAAGCTGCTTTAATATGGATTTTAACTACTTCTTTAAAAGTTTTGTTGTACATCGAACGCAGAGCTGATGTGACACTGTAAAGACCATAATATCTCATTCATTTAGGTTGTAGACACTTACCGTAAAATCCCGGTATGGCGCCCAGTGGCATAACGAACAGGCACACCAGCAGGTCAGCTATGGCCAGAGACAGGAGAAAGTAGTTGGTGACGTTCTGTAGTTGTCTGTCCAAGCATATGGCCAGGCAGACGAGTATGTTGCCCACGCCACCGGAAGCGATGAACACGACGACGAACAGATACTTCCAGTTGTACGAACGTTGGTGGCCATCCTCGTCTTCAGTGGAGATGGTGGCGGGCGGCCACTGTTCGCCGTGTATCGAACACGTCACCTGGTTGACGTCGTCGTGGTCGTGGCCACCGCCACCGTCACCGTCACAACGGACAACGGTGACGGCGTTACCACGGGCCATCTCAGGCAAGCCCACAGACACGGCCGGCTGTCCGTCAAAGTGGGCTGACAACCTGGCGGGCAGATACAGCCGGACATCAGCGTCGGTGGCCCTGGACAGTGAGTCGGTGCACGCGAGTGCGCCCGCAGCGCGCCGGCAGTCCAGCGTCCAAGTGCCGCCACAGTCCAGTCTGTCGACCCGGGCCTCGGTCACCAGCAACTTGTTTCCGTTCGTCGTCGCGGTCATCACCATCTCGGTGCCGGCCACCGCTATGGCGGCGGCGGTGGCCGCGGTGGTGGCTGTGGCGGCCGCGGCTGCAGCGGCGGCGGTTGTGGCCGCGGTCGACGCCGAACCGTTGTTGTAGTAGTTGCCGTTGTCCTGGTACACAGAGTACACCAGGCGGCAGATGACCTGCGCCAACCACACCTTGCCAGCTCCGTCATCGTGACCGCTGCCCATTACATTTTCTTCTGTTCAACGCACGTGACTCGAGCTGAAAAACAATATTTTACTTGTTGTTTTCCTCTTATTATTATAGGTAAGTGAATCTATTAAATTACCCGACTACAGAACTGTAGTATTAACTACTAATGTACAAGTTGCTAAATTTGATTCAATACCACGAAACTCAATATTTAATCAAAGATTTGCTTATGATACTAATTATTTCAAGTCAATTTTAAATTTGAACTCGCCTAAAACCTTTTTCACCTTTTCCTTGCCACCCTGTCTTGTATATAATTTTGTTTATATGTATTAGGTACTTATTGTATTCATTTTTTTCAGAATTTGAAATATATTTGGTTGCTAAAAGAAATAAATGAAACTAAAAATAGTAATTATAATATCATATAATGGAATAAATCACAACGTATTATAATATACTCTTGTACCTATGCCGAGAGACTGATCTCATCAGTATTTTGTCACAATTATATTCTCTACCTAGCAAGTAGTAACATTAATTTATAAAATCCGTTTGTTTTGGCCATTATCTCTAATCCCCCAAAAATATTATGATTAACTGAATAGTAATGATCATACACCAAATATAAGTACTTACTACCTGTTACTAAAATTACAACTAATGTATTGCATGGATGTATCCAATATGTTTGAATTGTTCCGTATTATTATCGATTTATTACAAAATATTATAATATTAATATTTTAAACATAGACGTAGTGTGTTAATACGAAAATCAAATTTTCTAAATTACAGAATATAATATAAATAATAAATATAGTGTGATAATTATTATCAACCAATTAAAACATTCAATCGTCAATAATTTGCCCAATACATCTTCCCCAGACCCATTGTAATACGTTTAAACGTATTGTTTCAATCATCGCAACCACTAACATATATAGTCAAGTTACACCTGCAACGGTAGGTACTAATAATTATTATTATTTTAATTCTTATCCTATAAGGATATACCTATTGGCTATTATATCTATAATATATCTAATAATGTATAGATATAGTGTAAAACATATTATGTTGTGTATAATATGTATAATGTATATTTGAAGATTTGTACAAAGGTAATATCCTATTAATTCTCTCGTTACAAAGTTGTATTACTCTACGGCCTTCCCAAACAAACCTTTGAAACACGTGGGGAATTACATATTCGGCCGAAGGATTATCAGAGCCCTTCAAATTCCGTTATCCACCAGACGCGACGGGTCTCGATGACAGTCCCATGAGTGGAAATAATATTATTGTCATCGGTCAGACGTGCCATACTGACTGACAGTGACAATATTTTGATGGCAACACGAAATGTGTTATAATAGTTTTCATAAATACACAAAACTTCAACGTTAAAGAGAATAGTTGTCATATGAATTGGAAACGCTCAATTTATCAAATTTAGCGTAATTGAAGATTAATCACAAACAGTTTTGATCGAATTAAACTATATTTTCCTCGTTTACAGAAAAAAAAAATAGACAACATCAGACTAATGGTTTTTTTTCGTTTTCAGCCATGTTGTATTCAGTGTTAACAATTTATTTTGTTTCTATTGATTTGAAAAATAATAATATTCATTTTTAAAACAATTTATTATAACTGCAAGGATAAAAAATATTGTTTATGAGAAGCGTGTGACAAATAGAGAGTAAAGACGAATCAATATATTTTTTTTAAATAATGAAATGTTCACTGGATTCATTTTTATAATAGGTATGTACGGTAGGTATCTATTATACATTATTAGTTATTACTCAATAATCAGTTAACGAAATCGGTTTCGATTGTAATTTATATTATTTGTTTTATAAATATATTGAAACATGACAGAAATTGACGAGCACGATTATTGTTACTAACATAATTAAATATTTTCAAAGCATTTTGGGGGAGTACCTACTTTTAAGATAAATAATCTATATTAAAAATGTACAGATGTGAATTTGGTACATTTGGGTGATTAACTTTATGAATTAAGTTCACTTGATCGTATTGACTATTATTGTTAGGTGTATAAAGACACATAGATGGAGTAATAAGATAATATAAGAAAAGGGAATCATAGAAAAAACTTAAAATATTTGTTATCTAGCATTTCTGGATACCTACACTATGGTCTCTGTTCGTCGCGTGTAAATGACCGCATGTAGTGAGAATTGTTGGAATGATGAATGTACCTGTGAACTCTGACGCTTAGGAGAATAAAAGAGGTTATTGAAAAGTTTCTCGACATGAGCAGTGTTCAAATCTCAAAACAATAGTAAAATGTCTCAGCGTATATGATATATTAACACATCATATGTAAGTACTAAGTATATACAGTATCCAATTTTGATAAATTGTTAATTTAAGATGAACCTAGTTAGGAGTATTGTCTTATAAAATATAAATTATTCATTCAAATATACTCAAATGCATACTTTTATGAGATATAAACTATTAATTTAATACATATTAAAATTATTTTTAAACATTTTAGAAAAATACAAAATAACTGTGTATATATGTTTTGCTTAACTTAATAATTGAATAATTTAAATAGCACATGTATATTTATAAACAGCAAAATTAAAAAAGTATGTACTAGTCTGTATGACAATAATAATAGTAAATAATTAATAAATATTACAATTACAGTAACAGTAATAACCAAGAATTGACTGATAATTTAAAACATTAATTAAGACAGTTAAATTTAAGCACATTAGTATATACATTCTGTCCGAATACATTACGCTACATAGAAAAAAATTAACATGGTCCGTTGTATGGTTCACCAATGACAGAGCTCTGAGAAAAAATAAAATGTAAGAATATTTGTTTTTTTAAAGGTGAACATGAAATAAATTAGATTTTCTTATTCGGTGAGTGAGTTTTAATATTAAAACCAATCAGAGATAGTAATTCACGATAATGAATAGGACCATTTAATAAGTCATATATGAACGCACTATCAGCAACATTTCTTCTCAAGCCATAAGACGTTATTTCCAATTGGGTAATCTGCTCGTTATATGAATCTCTTGGATGTATACATTTAATTTAAAACATAATAGTTTTACAAAAATTATACTGAACATTTTCAATCAGATTTATATGCAAAAAATAGAGAGGTAGCCAGGCTATTGACCCAAACTCAATACGGAAAATAACTATTGAAAAGTATCGTGTTTTCTAGAATTAATCGTGCTTATCTTAATAAATCCCAGAATTTTAAAAGTTTTTTTTATAAAAGTGTTAATGTTAATGGAAAAATCCATGTTAAAATTAAAGAGTCTCTAATTGAAGTAACTCACGTAACAGGATAATTATCAATCATGTAATAGTTATAGGTGATCATATACCTACTTATTGCACTTATTTATATTTAATGGTAGGCGATTACCACGACTTCAATCAACGAATTTATCCAAATTTGAATGTAATTTTAAAGCTTCATTTGGAGATTTAATAACTGAAAAAAATTTGGCATCGTTGGCAAATAAAATAATGTTAATAGAGCTATCAAAAATAGAAGACTGACCATTAATACATAATACAAATAAGAAGAGACTTAAGAGAGACCCTCGAGGAACAATAGAACTAACCGAAAAACCATTACGATAAATTAGGTGACCAATAAACACATACATTTTCATTTTTACACACCATATCATAAATTATTATGTTTTATAGTTTATATAAAAAAAAATTGCATTACAATACAGGAACCTTATATATTGTATTTGTATATAATATGTTTATTAAATTCTTAAAAAAATAATTTTAGTTATTGATCGTTACTTATTATAATCTGTTGTATACCTTATACAACTAAATTAAAATACATCTTAACTATATTTCTGAAAGCACATTCTTTATTTTTGCATTTCTCAAAATTGTAACAACAATACAAAAACAAACATTTTATACAACATTCCAACATTTATAGTTTAGGTAAATCAAAAATCTTAGTATTTTATAGTCATAATTCTATGAAACACTGTGTATAATATATTAATATGAAAGTGTTTAGGTGAAAATCAGTGTATTATTTCATTTTATTAATTTTTTATTACCTATATGATTGATGAAACTATAAGCTTCGATTAGGCATTTGAAAATAAAACATTTTAATATTATTTTAACACTTGCATTATACAACATGGTGTTAAAACCAATTCACAATTGTAATCATAATAATATTATGATTGAGTGGTACTCATCATTTGTATGGTTTACATGAATTATAATAAAATGAAAATTGCATGGTGTGGTGCAGTAACTAACGTCCGGCGTCACTAACTCCTGGATGGGTAACCCTCAGGGTTTTTAGAGACCAAACATGGCACGCATACACAATACCATGTGTACAACCCTACCAACAGCACCAACTCAAAAACATACTTAAAAATATACAAAAACAGCCCGCTACCATACCACCTCATATCCAATTGTTTATGTTGCAGCGGGTTCCCCCTGATAAAAAAATTCATAATAATAATATGAAACATTTGTGGAAAAACAAGTATATTTGTAACAGAAAACCTCAATTTTTTCTAAACATAAGTTTCAGCAAACATATTATGACAAGTGATACACTAATAACTTCAGACATTATTTAAAAAAGTAAATCATATGTATTATAACTTTAAAAGTAATTTTTTTACTATACATTCAATACAACAAATATTATTCATGTTTGTATCACATATCTAATATGATCATTATAATATCGTACAAACGATGTAGTATTAATAACTTTTAATACTACACTAGGTACTTTTAAAAATGCATTTGACAATAATTCAATAAAGACAAAAACATGAACAACACACGCGTACATAATAGAAGCAAAAATTAATTGAATAGAATTTAAGTTAAAAATAGAGCTGAGTGCTAAAAAAATCATGAGACTTGCGTACAAAAGTGAATTTTTAATATTTTTTTAATGATTTTTTTTTTACGACAAAATACAAAAACAGACGCATGACTTTCGTTTGCACGGATGTATCGTTTGGAGTGAGTTT